AGATGTTTTCATTAATTACTTGTCTTTCTGCTAATTTTTTGAGTTTTTATTCTAGACAGAAACCCTCTGCTAAATGAATAGTTGGCAAATATTTCTTTTCATTTTATAGGTTCTCTCTTCATTGTTAATTACTTCCTTTTGTTCTACAGAAGCCTTTTTGTTGGATAGAATCCCATTTGCAACGTCTCACTTTTGTTTCTTGTGCTTTTTGGGGGGTTTTGTCTAATAATAATTTATTCTTCTCCCTCTTTTCTCTCTCCTGTCTTGCATTTTATTTTTGGTAGTTTCCTTTGGACCAGTTTTGGAAGAAATTGTCCTTTCTCCAAGCTATATTTTTGGGATCTCTGACTATAGCTGTGTGGGGCTACTTCTGGCATCTGTAGTCTGTTTCACTGATCTGTGTGCCTGTTTTTGTTTCTGTTTTTGCCAATATCAGGCTGTTCTTATCATCACAGCTCTATAGTAAGTCAAGAAATCTGGCCTATGATGCCTCCAGCTTTATTCTTTTTGCTAAGGATTTGTTTGGCCATTCAGTGCCTTTAGTAATTACCTATGAATTTTATGATTGCTATGCAAATTTTGTGAAGAATGTCCTTTATATTTTGATCAGAATTTATACTGAATCTTTAATAACTTTGGGAAGTCTGGACATTTGAACAATATTAATTTTCTAATCCATAAACATGGTAGGCATTGTCAACTTTTTTTGCCTTGTGCAATTTCTTTCATCCATGTTTTGTGATTTTTATTGTATAGGTTTTTCCCTCCCTTTCTTCCTGATACTGTGAGTGGAACTGCTTTCATGATTTCTTTTTCAAAAATGCATTATTGGTATATAGAAAAGCTACTGATTTTTGTATCCTGCTATGCACTGAATATCAGTTCTGGTAGTATTTATTTTTTTGGAGCAAGTTAAAGTTTTTCTGTACTGAGAGTCATAGCATCTGCAAATAGGGATAGTTTGCCTTCTTTCATTTGTATCCTTTTTTCTTTCTCTTACCTAAATGTTCTGGCTAAAACCTCTAGCACTGTACTAAGAGTTTTGAGAGTGGACATGCTTGTCTTGTTCCTGATCTGACAGGAATGCTTTGAGCTTTTCGTTATTCAGTATGATTGGCTTTAGGCTTTCCATATACAGCCTTGACTATGCGGAGGTATGATACCATGGCGCCTTTTTGTTTATCATGAAGGGATGTTAAATGACCAAAATCTTTTCCTGTGTCTATTAAGATGAGCATATGGCTTGTATTAATTTTGTTGATGTAATGTAGTATGTTTATTCATTTGACTATTTTGAACCATCCCTCTACCCCAGTTAAAAAAAAAATCAATTTAATCTTGGTGAATGATCTTTCGGTGTGATGTTGGATTCAATTTGCTGATATTTGTTAAGTATTTTTACATATGTGTTTATTGGGGATTCTGGTCTATAGTTTTTCCTTTGTTGTTTCTGAAACAGAGTTTGAAAAGGCTCCCCCCCCTTTCAAATATTTGTAATAATTTTAGAAGAATTGGCAGTAATTTTTTCTTTCCTTTCCCCTTCCTTCCCTCTCTCCTTCCCTCCTTTTTTGCTGGGGACTGAACCAGAGACTGTGTATGTTAAGCAAATACTCTACCACTTAGCTACATCAACCAGTACTATTTAAAATTTTGAAGCAAGGTTGTGCTAAGTTGCCTGGGATGGCCTCCAGCTTGCAATCTTCCTGCCTCAGTCTCCCAGGTAGCTGAGATTATGGGTAGGTGACAAAACGAATCTTAAGATTCAGGTTTCCTACTTCTGCTATAGTAAGTTAATGATTATGCTGCTTTTCAGCTTTCAAAAATTTTTTGCCATTGTCTCCCTGCTTTTTCTCCCCATCCATTTAGGTTTCTGCCACGTAAGAAAGTTCTTGAGATGTGTGGTAAAATTCATGGTGCATGCCTGTAATCTGAATAATCTAGACAAGGAGGTAGGAGGATCACAAATTCGAGCCCAGCCTGGGCAGTTTAGCAAATTAGCAAGATCTGGTCTACAAATAAACAACAAAATAGGGGTGGGGATCTAGCTCAAAGTAAAGGCCCTAGGTTCAAACCTCAGTATCACAAGGAAAAACACATTCAGTAAAATTCAGCAGTGAAGCTGTTTCTGGGGTTTTCTTTGTTGGGGGACTTTACTGATGCAATCTCTTTACTCTTAGAATCTATTTGGATGTTTTATGTCCTCATGATTTAAGATATGTCCAGAAAATCATCCATATCTTCTAGTTTTGCAGTTGGTTTTTCATAATAATCCCTAGGGATCCTCTGTGTTTCTGTGGAATCAGTTATAGTGTCTTTTTCATCTCTAATTTTTTTATTGAATCTCTTCTTTCTGTTATTGGTTAGTGTAGCTAAAAGACTGTCATTTTGTTTGATAGTTTGTCTAGAATATGCTGTGGTGAAGCGCTTTCCTGATCTTGTCTGCTTGGGATTCTGTAAACCTCCTATACAAAGATGTCCACATCTTTCTCAATATTCGGGAAGTTTCCTGTTATTACTTTATTGAACAGCCTTTTACACCATTAATTTTCTCTTCACCATCAAGTATTCTGAAAGCACTGGTATTTGTTCATGTTATGGTATCCCAATTTCCTTTTTTTTTTTTTTATCTGAATGGTTCAGATATTCTCTTTTCTGTTTGATCTAGTCTATTAAGGTCTTTTGCTCTGGTTTTTATTTGACTTATTAAACTCTTGATTTCCAAGATTTCTGTCTTTCTCCAAAACCTGTCTTATTGCTGAATTTTTCATTCATATCCTGTATATTATCTTCCTAATTTCACTTAATAGTTGTCGATATTCTTTTGGATCTCATTGAATTTTTTAATCAGCTTTAAATTCTTTATCAAGTACTTCATCCATTATTATTTCTTTGAGATTGGTTGCTAAAGTTATTTACAAAGGATGATTAAAAAAAACCCACGTGTTCTGGGTGTGGTGGTGCCTGCCTGTAGTCCCAGCACTCAGGAGGCTGAGGTTGGAGGATCACTGCAATTTCGAGACCAGCCTGGGATACAAAGTGAGCTCAAGGCTAGCCTGAACTGCATAGTGAGAAAAAGACAAAAACAAAAAGCTCATATGTGTATAAATAAAAATTTGTTACAGTAAAAGACACATTGCCAGTAATTCCCCCTTGCCTCAAACACATTTATCCCATTATTCTTGCCACTTTCTGAAGTTGTTCTGGAAATGCTCTTCCTTGAGAATCTTTAATTGTGCTGTGGTATCTTCCTTAAATATCTTCCATCTATTAAAACATGCTTTTCATGATCATTTTTACTCTGGAGAAGAACTGCCAACTCAGGTAAATACAGTGGATGGGGACCCTGTTTCTATGAGCTGGTCTTTCCATTGGATGATTCTGAGCAACATCACTCACCATATTTTTGATCATGTCTCTTAAAAAGACTCATGAAAGAAGACTTCCAGAAAGTGGCAAGAACAATAGGATAAGATAAATGTGTGGGGAGTATTTGAGCGGGATTAATGGCAATGTGCTTTACTATTATAATGAAAAATTTAACATGCACCACATTTTTGAACGCTCATATAATCTTGTCTTGAAAGTGTCTCCCATTACCAGCTTTTACATTTTTTGTTCCACACTGAGATTTGCACACTTACTGGATTAGGTATCTCTGTCATTGTAATATGATAACCTTAGTCAGCAGCTTTCTCCTGAAATTGTGTCTGATAAGCTTGTTTTGCAATGTTGGATTGTGTCCAGTGGTTACTGTTAAGTAGCCTCTCTATAGCTTCTTTTGCTATGATTAATGACATTTGGCACAATGTGTGCCATGGTAAAACTAGACCCAGTAACTTGGCAGGCCATGCAAGAATGAGGACATCGTTTTTTGTCACAGGAAGCCAAGAAAATGTAATATGCAATCATGAGAGTCACAGGAAGAACAAGCTAACACTTAATGTGGAAAGGCAACAATTTCTACAAATACTAAGGCAACCGAGGTTATCATTTCATTACTCTGTCTTGGGTAGAGAAACAATCAGATGACATTTACTCAGTGTATCTGCATGAAAAGGTTCTAAAACACCCCTGCTCTAATAAACAGAATTTGCAGCAGAGATCATGAAGCTATGAACATTTCAAAATAACTTCTGAACCATAACATTATAAATAATTATATGTTAATAACATGCACCATTAAATTATTTTTGTGCAGAGGTCATTTTAGTATTTTCTGATTCTCTAGGAAATAAACTTCTAGTTTAAAATTAATATTCACTTAGTAGCATAGTAATCTGTTTGCATAAGTAAGGCAGAAAAAGCCCGTATGGCAAGGAGCTGGTTGAGACTCCCCTCCATCCCAGTTTTTATTTTTGATAAAGAGATTAATGGAAGGAACAGCAATGAGATATTGGAACCAAATGCTTTACATTTCTAGCAAATTTGTCAACTGATTGGTCCAAGTGTGGCCTTGAACATTACAACAGGCAACTTGCTGTACTTGGCCAAGCTGTTTTGAAGTGGGACATAATACAGCTGTGCCCATACTAAAGCTAAGTACTTAGTAAAGAAGGGCTAAGTAGAAATGCTGTAAGATCAAATGGGAAAAATCTTTATGAAGCTTTTCTGAGCTGGGCGAAGGATACTTAAAATAATCTGGGGCCCACAGTGAGGAGGATCCCCATTTCTGTATCTGTCAGTGAGTTTATATGGTCAAGTATTACATGGTATAAATTCATTTTAATACAGCCGTACCAAGAGCACATCTGGATTTGCAAGACACAGAAAGATCACTGCTTGATTCAAGAGGAGAGGGGATGGTTAAGATTTTCTCTTGGCCTTTCTAGACTGAAAATAATTGATATGGATTTTCCCTAGATTTTGGGAAAGAAGTATTCATACAATAATTTGTAACATAAATTTCTGCTTGTGGGGTGGGGCTCAAGCAAATACTGCCCTCTGTATGATATGAATACTAACTTTCCTCCTATGGCAAAGGGGCAGCCCTCAGGACTTACATCTCTTCCAATCAGGTCCTCCTGGTTTTCCACAATCCCCCAGGGCGCGATGCCTATGGTGCATATTTTCCCTCGAGACTTAGATGCGTGGTCCTTCAAGGCATCTCCAACATGGCGAATGACACCTACGAGCAGAGAGAGAAATGTTAATCTTGTCTTCTAAAGCACCGACCTCTCGGTCATTCTTAAGGGAATTGGGTAATTTCCTCCCAAGCTTAAATGCACAAAATGCATAATTTGGACACATTTCTATACAGACTACACAATTTAGGAGAGAACATAAAATTGTCACTATATAGCCAGATATGTTTGCCAGATTGATACAAAATCTAGCCATGTTTTTTTCTTCTAATTTATATGAAAAAACAAAAAGCATTTAATGTCCATGAAAAGAATATGATTCTTTGAATTCAGAGCAGCTTTTTCTCACTAGCATAATCATCTGTTTATACATTTAGGAATCAACACCTTGACTGTACCCTGCCAAAATGTTCCATGCACAACATGATATTAAATTTGCACTACAGATAGTTACTTAGCTCAGATTCTGTTAACTTTAAATTCATCTTCCTATTTGTGCTATGTAATATAGAAAGCCTGGTTGTAAGAACGTGATGGCTTACTCTGTAGAAAATTTGTTAAAAATATATATTTTTAAAAATCTTCATTATTCTAATTGTTTTCCTTATCTTTCTTAATGTTCTTTCGCATCATAGTTAATAGTGAGGAAATTCAGCTTACATGGGTAGGACATGTCCTTTTTTTGTCAACCATTTACAAAAGATGCAATTTCTAATCTTTAATTTTCCTTTCAAATGAACATCATTATAAAAGACTTGTAAGATACATTTTCTAAGATGTCCCTATTTATCAAAGTTCTGCTATTACTCAAGAAAAAATTCATACATAGTACCATCCCCTAGCTGAACACTGAGATGGACTTTGATTTCTCATCTATTTACACATATCTAGTTTGCATAGCCTGAGCAGTTCAGTACATCACCCACCGTATTTCACACTGATTCATAGTCATATAAAATACTTTAAGTAATAAACACGTGATCTGGGTGTAGTGACACATTCCTGTAATCCCAACACTCGGGGCTGCTGAGATAGGATCACATGGTTGAGCCCAACTTGGAAAACTGAGCAAGATCCTGTCTCAGGGACAGAGACATGGTGGCTGGAGATGTAATACAGTGCAAAGGCCCTTGGATCAGTCCCTGGTACTGTAAAAAAAAAAAAATCTATCTATCTCAAAACACAAAATCCCAGGGCCCAGGGATGTAGCTCAGTGGCACAATGCCTGCCTGGTAAGTACAAGGTCCTGAGTTCAATTCCTGATACCAACAAATAAAAAAACCACACACATACACACAGTACCCCAGACTTGCATCACAATTTGGGTCCCAGATGGAAAGGCCATTTACAAAAATTGAAGCTATTTGGTATCAAACTTGAAATCACTTAAAGAATAGGCACGATTTCTAACTTAAAGTAAATGAAATTCTTTGAACAATTATTAGAGGCTGATGTGTAGCTCGGTGGTAACGCACTTGCCAAGCACTACAAAAACAAATAATTGGGTATTTACATAACAACTTGAACTACTGCAAGTATTGCAAAATTTCATTAGTTATGCTTCCAAATTACTAGGAAGTCAAGCATGCACTCTAGGAAGTCAAGCATGCACTCTCCAAACCCATTTCTTATCTGTAGCAATTCTTTTTTTTTTTTTTTTTTTTTTTGTCTTAGCTGGGAAATAGCTGTGGGCTGTCATTTAGGGAATGGAGATGGAGAGGCAGTGAATGTGAGCCCCCAGGGAGGACGAAGTGGGGGAACAGAAGGAAATCAGCTGCGGTATCATATCCTCAGGGCTCTCTGTTGCCTTTTTTTGAACCTTTCCAATTACCTGTGTTCACGCCTCCTGTGAATATCCATGCTCCAGTGGTCATCGCCGCTTTGATGAGCCCCTTCCCGAAGACTTGCTTGAGTTTGGGCTGAAGCTCAAAGTTCTGCAGGCCGCCATGGACAGAGATGAGAAGCTTGGGGAGCTCCAACTGCCATTCCTTGGTCATCAGGTGGAGGAGGAGATCGGGTTTCGTATCAAAAGACACTCGCACATACTGCAAGGGGCAAGGCTGTCGGTTAGAAGCTGCCTGCCTTCGTCAACTGCATTTCTGTGTGTCACTACTCAAAGCAAACGTCTCATGTGAAGCCAGGTTTTGCAAGATCATTTCCCTTACCAAAGAAGCATTCATGAGAAGAGAGACTTAGCATTTTTGAAGGGTTTCTGGAAATTGTGAGTTATTGCAAGCTCGAAAATGATTTGATTTTTAAATAATACTTTAAGCACAGTTTTCCTGTAAGGAGTTCTTTGTTTAAAAGGAAATATGTTTGCATTTTACCATTTTTTAACATGTGTGCTATAATTCAAGTTTTTCTAATACAACTAATCCCTTCAAATAAACTAGATGCAGGTATAACTGAGTTTGTTTTCTGTGATCCTATTATTCTGAAAGGTTTTGAAAAAAATTCTACAATTCTATATAGTACAATGAAACATTTCAAATAAGTAGCAGCAGGTTGTATTTATGTCTAAAACAATGCTCACTAATAGTTTTTTGTTTTAGTTTTAAAAGACAAGTGCCACTACAGACCTGTTCCTCACACACCCAACATCTTCAATGTGCTAGGACAAATTATGTCAGTCCAAAGTTTCAGAGTCAGAAATAATATTTTCCAAAATGAGATCCAATTGTATTTTCTGACTGCCAAAGGTTAGAGAATTTATCTCTAGCCAAATTTACTGAGGCAAATTTTAAAGTATATACAATAGGCACAACCTTTATGTCCATTAGGGAAGATCAGGAATGGAAAACTAGGATATCAGTGACTATGAGGTAAATCTGTAAAAGTATGGATTGAAAAATATGATAATAATTATACCTATTTCATGGTAGAATCGGATAGTACTATAGCACTAGACAATCTAGTACCTAAATTGGAAATAAAGTGATAGCATTCTGAAGTCTTTATCTTGTATAAGTGAGAAGAAAATAGTATTAACACTTCAAAGTTAATACCAGGGACCAGATATGCATACATTAACTCACATTTTTACAGGAAAATTTTTCTTAATAAGGAAGAATACATTATAATGATAAACTGTATAGTAAATACATATAACAGTAACAGTTGTTTTATCAAGTGTTATATACTACATATAATTGTGTGTGCCGTGCTTTTCTAAGATTGGCAGTGCAGTTGTTTATATCAAAATGACAAATATATGAATGATATTTGGTGCTATGACATTAAGATTTCTATGACATCTCTAGGTGATAGGCATTTTTCAGCTCCATCTTATGGGATCACCATTGTTCATGTGATCGCTATTGACTGAAATATTGCACGAGATTATTTACTATATTTAGGGTGACGTATTTTACACGTTCCATTTGATGTGCACCTCCCAAGAATAAGGAAGTTGGTAGCGTCCACACTTTCATAGTGGGGCAGAGGGATTCATCTTGTTTCCATGTTCACACTGCTAGGAAGGGCTAATGACAGGATTCACATGCCAACTATAACTCCAGAGCACTTCCTCTTGAACTCAAAAAATAGTAGTGGCTCTTCTCCATATTTCTCCTTTTCCTTTACCCATAACCAAACTGGAAATCCTAATGATCCATTTATTAAAATCCTGTCTTCATGTAGACCCTTCTCTCTCTCTTCTCAAAGGCTGTCAGTTTGGATAATGGCCATCACCTCCTCCTGGCTTCTCTGACACTGAGCTCTCTAATGAATATCAGCAGGCTGACTTCCTTCTCCAACCCCTTTGATCATATTATTTCTTCATTTAAATGATTACATCATATGAAACTTATTCTGGCAATTATGATCCTCCAAAATTTGGCCTTTCCCTTCCCCTACTGAGAAGTTTCTTCTACTTTACTGTACATTTGGCTAATACTATACCCCAAAGACTAGGTACTGATGTTTTTATCTTTCCATGATAGAAATCATTGATTTTTCAAAGGATCTGCAGAATTCAAAGTGACTTTTGCCAAGAATATAAGCTCATACTGAATGTAAGCAATATTACTATCAGTCAAGCCCAAGGTGTTATTGGTTCTGGTTGTTTCTTTCCTATGATGTTTTATCTCCCTTATTGCAAGGTTTTGAGAGAGGCATCTGTTGGACCTTACCATGTTCTTCAGCTCTGGCTGTGAATTAGGTACAATTTTAGAAATAAAATGAAGCTCAGAGATAGCTAAGCAATCATGGAACTCTAAATCTCATCCAACTCAATTCTTTTGTTGTATATGTTAAGACAGAGACCCAGGGAAGAGGCCTACCTAGGATTTTAAGAGTGGTTATCCTATAATCATTTAATCAATTACTAAAGCCATGTCATTAAAACTGCTGTTAACAGGCAAGGGTCTAGACCAGGCTGTATTATTCAGCCAGAACAGTAATATAATTCACCAGATAACTTGTCAAAACATGCAGTCTCTGATTCAGTAGGTCTGAAGTGGGGCCTGAGTTTCTGATTTTTAACCTGGGGACCACACATGAACCAGGGAGCATTATGGCTGGTGTCTACATGTCCCCCCAAAACCTCCTGCAGGCATGGCAGGGGCAGGCTTATCAGAGGTGCCTGAATCTAGAGTTTGTGATTGATTAACCCAATGTTGGGATTAAGGGTGTGAGTGATACACCCATCCTAGGGAAGGCAGCCTGCATACAATATAAGGGAGAGAAAAAAGGTTTTTTTCCTCTTTCGTTGTTTTTGCTGTCTTCTGCAACTCAGTTGCTCCTCTGCCTTGTGCCACCCTCTGTTGGAGCCAGCTGAGTATAGACTGAAACCTCTACATACTGTGAGCTAAATGAACTTTTTCTCTTTTAACTTTGGATGTCTGGCATTTTGTATCAGCAACAAGAAAAGTAACTAAGACAAGGAGTATAACTCTCCTTGAGACCAAACAGCCCAAATAGTGGGTGCTGTGGTAAAATGCACCTCCCAAAGACTATGTGTTGGAAACTTAATCATCATTGTCATTGAATGATTGAGTCTCGATGGTTCCACTCTCATGAATGGTTTAATGCTGCTATTGCAGGAAGAGGTTCCTGCACAGGGATGAGTCTGTGCCCCCTTCTCTCTTCCCTCAGGCACGCATGCTCTTGCTCTTCCACATTCTACAGTGGGATGATGTAGCAAGGTGAACCCTGCCAGCAATAAGCCCTTGGCCTGGAATTTCTCAGCCCCAGAACTGTAGAAATAAATCAGTATTGTTTTATTAATTACCCAGCTTCAGGTATTCTATTATAGAACTAAGACAGTATGTCTTATATTTGCAGTTGGGCCCAAGGGAAAAAAGAGCAGTCAATATTTTACATACAAATCAAAGAGAACATGGGGAAAATACTGGAAAAATCAAACCACAATAAATGTCAGAGTATACCAGCTGACAGGCTGTTCAACCTATCTCTAATAAATCTTACCACTTTTGATCAGGATTAATTCTTCTACACGGGAATGTTTGATTGACTATAGACATCTAGGAGTTGACAAACCTCATGATTCTTCAGTAGTGCTGAGAATTGAATGTTGCTTATTATTTCTGATTTACCGTGCTCTTCTTGTGAAGAATGAAAGGAAAGGTAAAGTATGTGAATGAATAAATTTGCTACTTTTTCTCTTTTTTTGGTTGTTGTTACTGAGGAACTCAAGTAAATGGTTGCATGTGTGTAGGGGTAAGAGAATAATTAAAACCAGGGCATAAAATTACATTTCAAGGTTATCTAAAGATTTCAGTTTTTAAATTATATTAATATGCTTATAAAATCAGGCTATTCAGTAAGCTTCCTAAATGCTTGAAATGTAATAGTGTGCTAAGTCAGCATTTTCAAGCTCAGAAATGCTTGCTGAGATCAATTAATCAACTCCTGTAAGTGGCCAATGTAATTTGGAATTAAGGTCTATTTTGGTTGTCAAGATAATCAATTTTAACCATCCACTTGGGAGTCTATTAATTCCTAAAGGGTAGCCTTCCTTAATGTTCATGTTCAATTTGGTCACAAGGACATTTCTCCGACATGGCACTCCTAGAGTTCCTCTGGACATTTGTGGCTATGCACTGAGGCACTGTCATTTGGCCAGTTTTGAGCATCCTGTCTTGTGAAGTGGGGGTGATCTTGACTGCCTCTTAGGTTACTGTATAGATTAAACTGTGAAACAAAGTATGTGACAGAATCACAAATGAAAATTAGAGAGAGGTCACATTCGCTAAATTGTGACTCTTATGTGCAACCAACTTGCCTTTATCTCTTTCAAATTTCCACATAGTTCTCTGTTTTTCAGCTGCAGTTATCCAAGGAGTGACTTGGGCAACAGGTATCTTTTTGTTGTTGTTCTTGTGGGGTTTGTTTGTTTGGTGTTGGGGTTAAACCCAGGGGCACTTTACCACTGAGCTACATCCCTGGTCATTTTTCTGCTGGACTTTGGACAGAGCCTCACTAAATTGCCCAGGCTGCCCTTGGATAGGATTCTCTTGCCTCAGTTTCCCAAGCAGCTGGGATTAGGAGTGTATGCCACCATATCTGCCTTGGTATTTAACTTCATAAAAAGAACACTTCCTCGACTACAGGCTTTAATTTCCTCAATTTATCATTTAAGACAGAAGCTGAGTTCACATACATTACTCATGTCTGGAATTATTGCCCGTTCTTCCTGCTAACATTAGTGTGTCTGCCTGGCAGCAGGAAGCCCTCACGTGATGGGTGAATGGTATTTGGCAGGTCTTGTGAAAAATAGAAGCTAGATTCAGTTGAAATCGCATTGTTTGGTTCATTCTTAGATGTATGGAGATCTATGTGCCCAGCAGTATTTTCATGAGAAAATGTATTTTGGTTTCCAAAAAACAAACTTGGAAATTAAATTCTATAAGTAAGTACATTACAAAACTAGAGATTTTCTTTCATTTGAAAGATAGAGGATTTGGTAACTAAAATTTTGGAGGCTTAGCTCTGCCTGGTGCTCATTTGATTAGCTCATTTTGATTAGCTGGTGATTCTGATTTTTTAAAAAAATTAAATATCTTCTCAGTACTTTATCATTAGA